GCATAAAGAAATCCCGAGCGCAAAAGGAACTTCCGATCAGCATAAGAAATGATGAGGTCTTTCGTGCACCACAAATCTGTCATCTTTGACGATCAGTTCCTCCCGAAATTCCGACACGACTCTGCAATTCTGAGGCACAAAAACCTGATGATTTCTATCGCGTGATTCGAGCAATTTCTATCCTGAGGCGTCATTTGAGTCTCCCGATTTGCCAAAGGAACATTTCTATTACCCTGCGAGAAGATTGATAGGAAGCACATTTTTGACTTCCTGAATCCTCCTAAGCATGCAATGGAATTTTTTCCCCCGACGCAACAATTGCACCTTTTCAGCGACACGCCGCGTGTAAATTAATGAGGCGGCGCGGAGTTAATTTTTCATTGATTATTTGGGAGTTGGGCGATCATTGCTGAGGTCCACCGAAACGCTGTTGCGATTCCTATCGAAGTATCTTAGTGCGATCAACAAGACTTGCACCGCGTGCACACAATCAATTTCATTTATCGCGGGACGAAAGTTCGCTGTTAATGAAATATCGCGGTTGAGGAGGCAAAGACACTGAAAAGGTAATTCCTGAAATTGCGCAGCGGACCAGGAATTTTCGCGTAAGCGATTATTTGCGGTATTTGTAAATTAGTTATCCGTAGATAATAACATGTGTTTTTTGCCAAGTCAAGGAAACGAAAGGCATTCCCAGAGTGCAAGAAACCCCAATGATTGTCCATATTCCCTTTGTCTCCACTTCACACTGTCCATTGGGGTGTCTATCTGTCGTGGAGGCTCGCAGGATGGCCCCATTGGGGCCTTCGGGGCTAAAAACTCGCTGATCTGTGACTTGTCTTTTTCACCACTTGACGACACAATAATCATCTCTCCTTTGCATATCGCTGGGCTTCTGCTCAATTGCATGGGACAGACGTGGAAATTTGCCTGGAAATTTGTATATCAAAGTCCACAGTGTCCAATTGGATGGCAATTTGAGTGTCATGAGATATTCTGCGAGTCAGAGTCTTCTGTCTCACTTCATTTCAATACGTAATCACCAGGCATTCAATTCAACTGCAATTCCACATCAGCTTCCACATTCCTCGGCGCACCTCATGTGGCGTCCAATTCGGCATTCTACCTAGGCGCGTTTTAAGGGTTGAATGGCAGCGAGAGGCCCCGAAAGTCAAGGGTGGTCCATCGGGAATGCATGTCAAAGCCACAAGAGGCAATTCCTCTCGACTTCCTAAAAGGAGTAGCGATTGGAATTATTTACGCTTGTCTCGTGACGATATAATTTCCATTTTCGATTAATATGTCCATTTCCTAGGCCACACACGCCGTGCTCTCCCCTTTTCTTTTGCATTTCGCTCAATCACGTCAAGAGACACCTCGCTGGATGGAGACATTGATAGAACTGGTTCTCCATTGGCTGTGGAGTCGTTATGAACATTAAATGCTTTAATTTGTATATCAAATGGCTCTTAATTAAAATGTCGTCTCTGCTTATCAAAGATGACTCTCTTTTTAAGTGTTCTCGCATTCAGCTGGAAAAATGGAATTCCTCAATAAATATGCCTTCTGGGGTACATTCGACTGCAACATTATTGGTTGATAAGTCGAACAGAAGCGCAGCATTGCAGTGAAATGAGTGGCTTGCAAAGGAGGGACAGTTTCGCGCGTAATACCTGTAATGCATGGGGATTTTCGAAAATATTGCAGCGATTCCCACAGAAACAAGAGATGTTAAAAATGTGTTGTAACAGTTTGAAATAGTATTTTCGGTTAAAAATCACACATGTTAGGCTTAGAATGGTGATTCTGTTAAAAATGCATCAGTTGTGTTAAAAAAAATTCACCACGGGTGTTAAAAAATTCACCACTTGTGTTAAAAATGTTAAAACTTGTGTGTAAAAATTCACCTCTCGCATTAAAAATCTCCACTTGTGTTAAAAATTTACCACTTGTGCTTAAAAGTTCACCACATGTGTTAAATACTTCACCACTTACGCAATTCGAAATTCTGATGTTTTAGTGAGAATAGCAAGAGCTGTTATTTCTTATTAATTTGGAATGTTGAATTTTTGCATGTCTGAAGTTTAACATTCCTCAGTTTTACTGGGAATTGCGTCATAAATTTAATCATTTATCTTTAATAGTCAAGCTCAGAATGTGAACTCGTAAGTTGTTTTCCTGAATCTTTGCAGGACTTTTGACAAAGATCAACACTTGATTTGCGCTCGTGTGCGTGAAAAAATCCAAATTCAATTGTTAATTGAGATTTTATCCCCTTGAAATGCTGGGTGAAATGCTTCCTCAGCCAGGAATAAGATATTCCACTTGACATGGCAACGCTTCTGGCGGCAATATGATTAAATATTCACTCACTGCAAGCTGTAAATGAGCAATTTTCTGTCATCTGCCTCTGTCCAACTGATTTCCAGTTGCAATTCTGTTGCAATCTGGTGGAAATCACCATGTCCGAACCCGTTGAAGAATGTCAAAAATGTTTTGTATGAAAATTCACAATTTTCATGCATTAACCGGGATCACAACTTTATGATACCAAATTGTACGTTTCAATGCGATTTAATTGAGAGTCATTGCACGAAAATTACTTCCGTGTCATACAAGTTCTTTCTCCTCAATCAAATTTCTTGTGCCTTTCATGCTCATCTTCGCGTGTGCTCTTATTTTCTCCGCTGCGCATCCGCGCACTTCTGCTGCCAAAAGGTGAGCACGTGTGTGTCCTTCTGCGATTCCCTGAGCAGGATCAGATGCGACTCCAATTGAAACATGCTTAATTTGATACTCTCCTCGGCAGTGTCACCTCCCACTTCCTCCGGGCGGCGAATCCCTCGGGAAATTATGCTAAAAAACTCGTTCCTCCGATGGTGAAAAGACCCTTCGTCTTGCGTCTCGAGACGAAACACGCTCAGCCCAACAATAGACACATCTCGCAATTCGTCTTGGCAGGAAATGAGGCACAACTCAAATGCAAATGGGAAACGGTGGCGTGAATGGGATCTTAGACTTGTCGAGCAAATGTATATTATTACTAAAATCACAATTCCAACCCTGTTGATTGGCACCCGAGCAAAAAAGCGCTGCCACGCGCTTTAGACGATGCAAAATCCCGGCTTGCTACATGACACCGAATTGACTATTGTGCTGAAATGTCGTGCAGTGCAGCCAAGGGGCGGACAATTGCCGGAATGATGTTTGGAAATGACGCAGAACTTCAAATTTTAGATTGTTTCCACGATAATTCGCAAATCAGAATAAATATCTTAAGAATCCTTGCGATATTTCTGTAAAACAACCACTTAAAACTGCTTTTTTGAGGGTTTTCTTAGATCATAACCTCAAAAATATCACTAAGAGATCTCAAAAGACTCATTATCTTCCCCTTGAAACAATCAACACTCTTCCGAATCTTTCAAAACACCAATTTCGTGTATGCAAATCAAGACGAAAACCCGGACAGAAACGTGTTTCCTTACACAAGTGTGCACTCGCTTCCCTTACTCAGCAGCCCCTCGATTGCAGCAAATTGTTCAATGCAGATGTCCAAAGTCGAGAAGGGGTTGAATTGTGGCAATTATTGTAATTTCTCGTCAGGCTCACCCTCGGCAGGACTTCTTGTATTTCATGCAACAAAAGTATCCCCTTACACGTGGCAATTTTTTTTCCATCCACCGGCATTTCTGCCATTGATTTCGTCCTGTGCAGCTGGACAAGGAAAACCAATCCTGTTTAGCGTTTATGAAGTAACTTTAATCAGTTCCAATTTGTCTTACATGGATTCTAGTTAAGTATTTACAAAAAAAAAATTAAAGATATATTTGTACATCAACTGGGATTGTTTTAGGCTTCCTACAAACGTATTAAATAATACAGTTTAACGTCTTAAGGGATGATCTTCCAGTAAGTCTACGAACGAGAGATAACTAAGTATTTACAGAGGTATGAAAAATCAATGACTAGATCAACAATTTAGAAGTAAATGCAGTTAAATAACTCAGTACGATGGAGTCCTAGGGGAGACTTAAGTAGGGATACACTAGGATTACGTCACTAGCACTATACACTAGGGGTGTGGGTTGGCATCCTGTCGTTTTTGGAATATCTCAGCTGCTAACTGGCCGTCTGTCACCTCGTGAGCTGCAAGAGAGACGGAAAATGCTTCAATTAGTGCCCGATCGGGTGGGATGAGTGCTCTGTATGTATTCAATTAATGCCACAGCATCCAATGGCGCGGCCGGAGAACGAGAAATGCAGCCAATGCAGTGAGTGCGGAGCAAAAGGAGCGGCAAAAAGTCGCATAGACGAGAATGATGGTGCGCAAGAAGCTGGCGCAGGGCAAAAGAACGAGTCGCTGATGATATGTAGAGGAATGTAGACGCGACGTAGACTGATTTCGCGTTGGGATAGGGCAGTTATGTTCTCGCTCTCATTCTCAACCGTCTGAGATCTCATCAATGGAATGGAGCAAATCGAATTTGGCCAGGGGAAAAACTGCATTATCCTTGCAAATGCATCCACTTTATAATTATATTTCTCTCAGTTCCATCAATAGGGAGTTTTCGGGTCGCATTCAGGACTTTGTGCGATGCGAGAGAGGTTGTATTTTTGGGAGACTTTAGAAATACAACAAGAATGGCACTGGTGTTTTTTGTCCTGCGCGCCTCGGCATTCAATGTGGGATTCAGTCAGGTATGGGGAATTGAATTGAAAGCGAGGGCAGTTGAGGAACTCACACAGGGGATGGCGAAATAATACCTGAGCCCAGGGCATTGTGTATGCAAAGAGAGGGAATTTCAGCACAATTCGCAAAACTAATAAAGAGACGCTCTCCGAGGGATGCTGAGTACCTGTTGAGTGGTGGATTTGCATCATTTACCTTGAGCGCGGTGTCAGTGCTGCAGTTGCCAGTGCAGGATGTCGTCCAGCAGGACCTCCTCCTCGAAGCTCACAGCCTCGTCCTCGAAGTGCATCGTGCCGTACGCGTGGTACTGCTCCTGGTACGGCGCCGAGGAGGTGTTGTAGCCGTGGCCCACGGACACGTCGGAGTTGTAGGAGGGCGTGGGGGAGGCGGACGCCTCGGAGCAGGGCGGCTGGGACTCCTGCAGGCTCTGCACGGGGCTGCCCACGTAGTAGGAGCCGCTGCCCTGGCTGCTGCCGTCGTGCGTGGAGTTGTCGTCCAGGAGCTGCTGCAGTCCCTGGATGTACTTCACCGCCAGCCTCAGCGTGTCCACCTTGCTCAGCTTCTTGCTGGCGCCGCGCCCGCCGTTCTCCACCTCCACGATCTTCTGCGGGATGTGCTGGCGCAGCTTGTCGAATCCGTTGTTGACCTGCTTCACTCTGTTGCGCTCGCGGGCGTTGCGACGCTCCACACTCGGCGGCGTGGTGGGAAAGGGCTGGTGCATGTGGGAGGTGTAGCTCATGCGCTTCTTGCCCATCTTCAGCTCCCCGCCGCCAGAGATGTAGCGCGCCCCGCGGGGCTCTGGGGCCGGGGCGATGGGCCGCTTGCCGGCGGCATGGAGCCCCACATTGGCCTGCTGCACGGCCGATGGTGAGACAATCACACAATTCTGGGGCAACACGTGGAAATTCTGTCCGAGCGCCATTGTCCTCAGGACTGTTGCCATGGTCTTTAGAGTCCAGCAGATAAAAATTCACTCCCGCGCGACACTTGTGTATCTCCCAAGAAACAGATTCAGATTCCGTCCTTCGCGATCAACGTCCAAAACACAACTGGTTTGTCTTGCGATCTCCACTTGAGGCACTCCGAAATATGTATGCGAAGTTCACGTGAAAGAGGATAAGCGAGAACTCGATGCGAAGAGGAGATGGAAAAAGGGAGAAAGACTGCCCGTGCGATCTCTCAGACAAGAGAAGTGCGTGTCGACTCCGCGGAAGCCACTGTGCAAATGGTACCCTTCGTCCTATGCCCTTGCATTTAGTACCTTCCAGCCGATCTACCTGCGGAGTCAAGTCAGCGCGATCCCCTCTCCGAGGGTTGAGCCGTCGCGATCGCGCTTCCCCCACCACGCGCGATCGCCCGAGCGCAGCCGAAGGAGGCTCGCTCGTGTGACCTGGGATCGCGCGTGCCACCGACGTGAGTCGCATGGCTATGCGCAGCCTGCCTCGAGAGCGCAGGTAGGCAGTGAATGGAACGATCGAGACGACAGCATCTCGGCCCAGCGTGCCGGACAGAGAGGGCCGGAGGATCACTTGTGGCCGCACAATAGATGCCACACTATTCGGCCGCTGAGATCCAGCGGATGCAGATGCTGCGCGCTCGGGTCAAGTGAGCGCTCTCAGCTGCGCGCGAGCGCCCAAAAAAGTCGCCTAATTACCCCAAAAGCAACTTGCGCGATCGACAGTGACAGAAATCACATTTGCAGGGACAGGTGGCGGGGTTGTTTGGCCCAGCAACCCCCGGAAGTGCAGTGATGCTTGGCCGGTCACTGTGAAATTATGCGACAACCCTCTGGAATCACTTGCGCATGCTTCAGTACCTCAAGCCGCGATCATTGTGAATTGTCCAAGGAAAAAATGCAAATCAGCTGCCTGAAATATAGAACTAATGATTTAACGCTCAGGCTGCAGAAATTGTCTGCGGAGAGGCCATAATTGCGATTGACTTATGCTCTTCGTGTCAATTTCTCCGAGCGTGTGATTTGCAGACATTTCTCGTCACTTCGCGGCGCGCGCGCATCATTTATAGGTCAGTACTTCGGAAGTGTGGAACAATTAGCCGCGCAAGAAGACATCTGCAACATGATCTCTCGGCGACTACATGAGATGTCTGCCCTTGAACGGTGATATTCTTAGCTAATGGCACGAGTGCAAATGCGGGGAAATTGCGTGACATATGACCAAATGGGCGCGCTTTATCGCAGCCGCTTGTTGTGTCTTCGCTCCTCGTCTATTCCCGCGGACAACGATGCGGAGGAGCCGTAAATTAACCATCGTCTGGCCTGATTAGATTACAGACTTACCCCTTTGACTTCCAGATGTAATTAAGGGCGGAGAGCGCGCGATTGAGATGGGGAATCAATAAGCTACTGCCGGGCGGCTTTCCTCTGATTCCGTCTGGCCAGCGAGAGGGGCAATGTTGATTTAGTCGCGCCCACCCCCAAATGATTACTGCTTTTAGCCGCAGCCGATCCACCCCCTTTTTCTCTGCGTCGAACAGCGCACAATCATCGTCTTTCGGGGATGAAACTGAAACCGTTGAAATTCTCCTGATTAAAGCCGCAGTGAAATTCCACTGCATCATGGAATTCTATCCTTCTCACAGATTCCTGACCAGTGAAAAGGCACACAAAAAAAAATCATTGTATCCTCGTGAGCTGTAAATGAAGGGCGCAGGTATATTTTTCGTCCCCGAAATGGAATTTATCCTGGGAGAGTTTATCGATCTTCGGAGACAGAACAAAGAGTCCAGCGTGTCTCAGAGCTGCCAGAAAGCAGGATTCTTACCTTGATCCAGAATTCACATTCATCCAGAGACTCCCAAAGGAAGGAATTGCTGCAATTAGCGACTCACCTCACGAAATTCCTCTGTGTTTCTCAATGGGGTCGTCTCAATTAAGTCCTCACGAAAAAGGAGTGTTTTTATTTAAATGAGTCCACATCTCTCACTCATCTCGCTATATTCACAAATTACTTTATATGACATCTACCGCGAGTCGCGATCGCACTTTTTCGCGGTGAGAATAAATCAAAAAACGCGAAGGGCTATAAAATTCGGTGGCGAGTACATTAATACTCACAGCAATCAGAGCCCATTATTTGGAGCAAATGAGAAGAAGAGGAGAGATTGCACGCACAGTGTTTCAATTTTGCCCATCGAGAAATAAGAAGAAAAGATGCGCCTTGGATTCCGTGCGACTTTTATATGGTGCACACGCGCAATCTGCATCCCAAAGAGGCTCCCCGAAGTGTATTTTCTCACAAAAGTCCGCGGCGCACGACCGCGGATCACTCGGCGGATTGTCATGTGGCCGCAGCATGAAGAGATAATGCGCCCAAATTGCTCCTGACAGTTCCTCAACTACGAATATATAATGAAGTGGCGCGACAGTAGCCACGAGATCCCTCTAAATTGTTTTGTCTCTAAGCGCCCCGTGAAACCCCAAAATTGCCCCTCAAGTTCTCACACACAGAGGAATTCCACGAGATTGAGGCTCGTGGAATTATTTAAAATGGGAGCGCGTCTCTGAGCATGTCATCACGCAACAAATACTCGATCAATACCTGTCGAGGAAATTCACTCTCTCTCTCTCGCCTCGTCGTCTTCCAGGTATTTTCAAATTATTTCCATTACTTCGGGGGAGAAAACAATCCTCATAGAGGCAGACAATTTGGCCAATTTGACCGGGGATGGCATCACGCCCAGCAAGAGGTTGCTAATATTAAGGATGCAGTGTCACTTTATGCTTCCTTCTTCGCGAATCTTCTGTTTTATAGAACGATTTCGCGGGTGTTTTCGAGAAATAATCAAATATTTCATCTTGTTATCTCTTCAAAAACCTTATTTTTAAAATTATTGTACACAATTTTAAAGGGCGGAAAGCGAATTTCTTAGCTAATTTAACCTTTAATCGAATATTTACGATTTTACGCAAGATTTTACGTTAGAAAACGTGTGTGAAACCGTTTTTACACCAGCAAAATACAATGTTTTCTTCAAAATCTTCTTATTTTTGTATCTAAACACAAATTTTGTTTTTCTCTACGATTATTATCCCACACAGAATTCTTGATTCCGTCATTTTGAGCCTATTTTCTAAGATCGAAATCTTGAACAGCACTTTAGCAGATTTGAATTATCGCTGTGCATCTCAAAATCTACATCAGTAGCCCCTTGACGCTCAGGATCAGGAGAAATCTCGTGCGAGTTCTGAGAAAACACTTAAGCAAGTGGAGAATTTGGGCGCCAAAAAGGTCCCACAGAGATCATTTTCATCAACTACCGAACCCATTCTCACATTAAAGTGATAAATCCTCGATAATTTGATACTCTTTATTCATCCTCAACCACAATAATTCCCCCGGAATATCATCACAATCTATCACGTGGCACAAAGGATCGCGCGCTCAAATGACGAGAATGATGATAGAATGCTTGAGACCAGCGACGGGAGATTAATTGGTGGATGTCTTGAGTATCACTCAAGGAGTTGAGTGTTTGTAAATTGGTGTTATTGAGTGATTCCTCTCAATGGGTCCTCATTTTCCGCCCGTGATTAATGGGGCAACAATGCAGCCCTCGTCGAGGCGTCATTTGGGGGGTGATATATCATACTAATAAGCAACACCTCGGCTTACATCCACTGTAACTCTTTCGGCGGCCGACTTTTTTGGGATTGTTATCAAATGATGAACATTATTGGAAATTCCGTGTATCATCGTCAGAGTGAAATTTCTCCTTCTTCGCTTCCAACGGCAGATGCGGCGGACGATAAAGACTTGTTGGAGCGATTAAAGCTGGGTTCCGATCAAAGAACTCTTCCGGATGATATGATAGTCTGGGGAGCAGAGACTTTGGTAAATAACACACCGTTTATTTGGGCTGTCTCGCGAGGGCTCCATATTCGATTTGTGTGTCTCTTCCCACAACTGCGCGCATCCTTTGCATACGCACCCTAAATACCTCCTAATATCCCAGTGAAGGGTGCAATTTATCGAGAAATTCGCCAGATAAGTGCCCCATTAATTCAATCAGAGGCCCGTGCAGATCAAAGTGGTGGCGGTGGATCGTGAATTGCATCATGTTTACCATGGGTGGAAGCATAATGAATACAAATTGTGTGTCTGCGAGTGAATGATTGACGCTTTTGGGGGGAATTTGACATAAAATGTGGCTGCCAAAGTTCCCGTGCCGCCCACTCCATATTCAATTGCTCACACAGGCTCACATCCAGAGGGGAATTAACATCTCGGCAATTGTAACGAGGCATCGGGCCAGCATTGCTGATGGCGCACTTACCGAGGGAGAGCAGAAGAATGAATCGGAGGCGGGCTTCGAGCGCAACAATTCATCATGTTCGCATCCGGGCAGCAAATGCAAGACGCGCGCGTCTGAAGGGATGATGAAGTTCACCTGGATTCACACGTCTGGCATCTCATGCTGCTCCACGATGATCGGGCCGATGAGGAAATTGTCATCGCGCATGGCTGTTAATTGGCAAAATTGCACTCTCAACTTTGTCACACCGATGCGGGTCTTTAAGAAATCAAGGTGATCGTGGCGGAGGATTTGGCGCAAAGAACAAAATATCTCCGATACGGTCCAGAAATAGCCGCACAAAGTCATGGACGAGAGCCGAGTTGAAGGAGAATTGCCACTTGAACGGCAGCAAAATGTTAAATCGGAATTTTACCAAGAAATTTGCCGAATGATTCAATCACGTAATGTGTAAATTTGCGCCATGGAAATCTCTCTCCTCTTCTTCTTGGCCTGCGTGAGCGATTCCGTGTATCGCCGGTGATACATTTGAATTTAATTACACATTTTGCCAATCGACCAGGCTTTTCCTTCACGCAAACATCAACTTCTTCATCTCCTCATTTCTCATCACTCCCCGAAAAGATCTTTTCGCCTCTGGTGCGGGATGTACATTAAAATAAAGACAAG